AAGGACCAGAACCCCAGCAGGGAGATGCATTCATACAGGTCAGCAGTCAAGAGAGTCCGGAGCCAGGCAGGGCAAAGCAGCATGGCCGCGGCCATGGCTACCAGGAGACTCGCTCCACACCGTGCGCTGCTTCAGGGTTCACCACTGTTCACTCACTGACCTCTCACACAGCTATTATCATCATCTGTTTTACAGACCAGGAAACTCAAGCCCAGAGCAATTAAATAATTTCCCCAAAACCACAATGGGCCTCCGTGGTGGAACAGCATGTTCTAAGGAACACAGAGACCTGGTGGGAAGAATCTCAGCGCACAGGGATAACTTGACTTGAACCTAATATCTGTCTCCTTTGTAAGCACAAATTCAACACAGAGAACATGCTATGTAGTGAACACAGGGTCAGCACACTCTGCAGTAACAGAAGTAGCTGCTGCCTACACAGATCTGCACCTCCTGCCGCTGTGTTCACAACCCTCGTTGACGAGGACGTGACTCACAGTAATATTCCACTATTCATGATGACAAGGACACTGCTGTCCTACATGAGGGAAGACAGTTGAGCCATTAAGACAACCTCAGACGGCAAGGTGGCTCAGTAGGTCAAGGTCCTTGCTGCCAAGCCAAGCCTGCGGACCTGAGTTCAATCCCTGGGTCTACGGCAAGGAAAGAACTGACTCCCACAGGTCATCCTTTGACTTCTCCGGGGCACACAGATGCCACATGTGTGCATCACACACACAAAGTAAACACTGTAATTTATAGCTATAAAACAGAGAATTTGAAAAAATTCTTAATAGATTAAGAAGTAAAAAATATAAAATCCCGCCAATTAGTTCAGTTGCCAAGGCTAAATTTTAACTGCATACGTCAAGGAGTTCACGTCAATGTGGACCAGTTTTAAAAACATTTCACTGAAGACCGTGTGTGCCAGACACTGTGCTAGATGCTGGGAAACAGGAGTGAGACTATCCTTGCCCCCTGAAGTTGGACAGCCAGCTCCCAGTAACGATATGGAGATTTACTATTGATTATAAAGGCTTGGCCACAGCTTAGGCTTGTCACTAACTAGCTCTTACAACTTAAACCAACCCATTTCTAATAATCTACATATTACCATATGGCTCGTGGCTTTACCTGTCCTCCAGCATGTCTGCCTTTCTCCTTTCCAGCATCCTGTGTCTGGCTGTCTCACCTCTACCTTCTGTCTAGCTAATGGCCGTTTAGCTTTTTTTCAATATTCCCAAGTGCCTAGTAATCAAGAGTCTCAGTGCTGAGAAGGATACACTACGGAGTTAGACTTGACATGAAGCCACGGGAAACCTATCATGAAGGGGTACAAGACAGAGACAAAGTGGAAGGCAACGACAGGACCAATGAGGAGGCTGCGGCAGTGGTCCAGGTGAGGGACAAGATGACCCTTGGGGCAGAAATGAAGGTGGGATACAGCCACTAGACACAGGAAGAAGAGAACAGATTAACTCTCAGGTGATGTTTCAGCTCTTGGAGGGAAAGAAAAGCAGGGCTTAGCTCAGTGAGCAATAGAGGAAAGGCCTTGCCTCTAGGCATCACTGATGCTTCCACCTGACATCCAAACTCCTGCGTGACAAAATCTCCATCCTCCTGCCCACACTTCTGACCATGCTCTCAGCCCTGACACTCGTCAAGTACAAAGGCTCTCTTTGGAGAGGCTAGCCTTCTAATCGGTTTCCTTATTCAATGAGATAATGAAGAGTCAGGGCTCCCATCAGAAAGGCTGCAGAGCCTCTGAATCTGTGCTACGGAGTCAGAAGCTGCAGGACCGCACAGGTGAGGCTGATAGAGACCCAGCTGGCAGCGGGTTATGGGCACAGGTGACAGACTGCGGAGACAGGCAAAGGGTAGCACATCCCAGGTTATATTTTAGCTCTGATCACCGAGGATGTTGGGAGTCAAAGAATAAATTCAGCTGCAGTTCAGGGCTGGGTTCCTCTGCTCTAGGTCTAAACTTCTCAGATAAGAAGCAAGCAGTTGTAATAAAACAGCTTCCAGCCCTTTCAGGTCAGCACCAGGGTAAAGGGTGGCCCATATTAAATGCTCTGTGCTAAAACAGAAAAAAAAAAAAAAAGGTTGCTTTGAAACACTTTCAAAACAGGGAGCTGCTCCTCTGTACTTCCTGGCTTACTTTGTTAAACCAAAGGGCTTACTAGAAACAGTGAGGGTTGATGGTGGGAGGGACAAGGGGAGGGGAAGAAGGAGAGGACTAGGGCATTAAGACCACATACCCCCCCCACACATGCTTTTGGTTTTGTTTTTTCAAGACAGGGTTTTTCTGTAGCTTTGGAGCCTGTCCTGGAACTAGCTCTTGTAGACCAGGCTGGTCTCTGCCTCCCAAGCACTGGGATTAAAGGCGTGCATCACCGACCAGCGACCACCCAGCTACATCCCCTTTTCTAACCAACAGTGGAACTGTTTGGGAAGATGCTGATGGTGAGACCAACACCTAGGAGAGGAAATAACAGCTGAGTACCAGGCCCGGCATCAGACCCAGCACGAAAGCACCCCAGCCTCTAGTGCTTTTGTCACAGGGTCACCTTCTTAACGGATTCTCATCCCACATCAAGGGCTGCACTGGTGTTAAAGTAATCAACAGGTCTGCAGAGACTCCAGCCGTGACCCTAAGAGAGGAGGGACGGCAGGAACTGAACCTGTTCAGACCTCTTTTGCATGCTTCTAGTTCAACGCAGACTTCCTTCTTACTGCAAGTATTTACTGTAAGGTCCCCTTTACAGTGAACTCTCTTGATGAGTATAAAGCGATCTTTTAGGGGTGGGGTTGTAGTTCAGCTAGCAGAAAGGCTGGGCTTGCTCCCAACACCTCACACAAACACCAGCTTAGAGACAGCATGATTTTTAAAGGTAGGTGGTGTTTTGGCAATAAGACCACAGTGACGCCTGTGCCTGACTTTCTGGAAGCCCCACGCTCAACGCCCAGTGTTAAAACACAACCTGTATAGTAAGGTGAGATCCACACAGGACCCATGTTCGAGGCAGCTCAGGGTCAGCTCCCGGCCCCCACGCCCCCCTGGCCTGGCGCTGGCACTAAGCCTGCCTCTATGCAAGGCCCTCAGTCTTCCTCCCCTTGTGGAGCGCCAAACACATCACACTGCTCAGGGAAACAGCACGTTCTGCAGTCAGTCAGAGAGCAGTTCAGATGCGTGTTCCAGCCTAACTTCAGGATACAGAACTCTGTCAAGTTAAATGTAGGCTGCTCACAGGAATGTGTAATAAAGGTACTTTAAATTCTAGGAAAAAATTTCAATTTAGTATTTTTTTTTTTTTTTGGATTTTTCGAGGCAGGGTTTCTCTGTAGCTTTTGGTTCCTGTCCTGGCACTAGCTCTTGTAGACCAGGCTGGCCTCGAACTCACAGAGATCCGCCTGCCTCTGCCTCCCGAGTGCTGGGATTAAAGGCGTGCACCACCATCGCCCGGCCAATTTAGTATTTTTAACTAATTATTGCAGTTACTGAGAGTTCATAATTTGCTAGGTATTACAAAAAATTCCCTCCATTCAGAAGGAAAGCTAGTGGCCATGGAGCAAGTCACGGGACCAAGGCTAGAACCCAAGTCTGCATGGCTCCACATGCTGAAGGTGACTGAAACAACAACACAAGGTTAGCGTGCCTGAGGACACTCTGTCATCACCGCCAGCACTCAGAGAACGACTGAGGATGACTCGGCACCACGGTCGTTAACCTGTCTGACTGGACGCAGCAAACATCCTGACCCTAAAGTCTAGATGAGCACATTCCAGAAGCAGTCTCCAAAGAACTCTAAAAAGCCAAGGGATAGTCACGTCTGCGCACCAAGAGTACAGAGGCCCTAAACGCTGAATCAAACACCAGGTGGCAACATCGGTTTCAAGTCTGAATTCCAAGCTGGTGAAGGAAAACAGAATTCAATTCAGTAAAACCTTCCCAGAGCCCGGCAAAGCTCCACAGCCTCAGCATTTCAGCATGTCTTCCCTGATGCGGCCTGCTCAGGAAGGATCGAATGCCAATTTTAATTACAGCTGTTTAAGACAGTTATGCATGGCTAGGTACGCCGGCACCAAAGCGGTCAGTATGAAAGAATGAAAGGCTTCTTGCATGAGCCCAGAGTACAGCCTTGCTGGATCGTACGTCACAGAACCACGGGAAGAAGCCGGCAAGTCAACTTCCACTGGATTTATGGGCACCTGTCATTTCCTCCCGCGAATTCACTTCACAAGCAGCTGGCAGAGTAAGTGACTCTAAACTGGCTGGCTTTATTGTTTGCTATTAACTATTTCAACAGCAGCTATGGACCTGAAGCTAATTCAAGCATGTTCTCGGTTCAAAGGGAACTAAATTATCTCAAGCCAATGGCAGTTCTCCATCCATTGACAGGAAAGAGATTAACTGCTACCATAATGACATTCCCAAAGCTAGGCTATAGAGCACAGAGGATCGCAGCAGAGAACCCTGCAGAGAAAAGAGCCGCAGGCTGGGTTTGTTACTAATCTTGCAGAGAACCCTGCAGAGAAAAGAGCTGCAGGCTGGGTTTGTTACTAATCTTGCAGAGAACCCTGCAGAGAAAAGAGCCACAGGCTGACTTGTTACTAATCTTGCAATGAAGCTTTGTTTCCCTTCCACTAGCCACTCACTCCTGTTAAACCTCATCACTGTCAGTAGCAATGAAAACATAATGAGCATCTGGAAACAGTGGCTTGGGCTCACCCATCACCCCCGAGGGTCGCCACTCAGAAGCCACCACACCTCTCACTCAGTGAACTGAGGGCTTTTCCACCACTGCTTCCACCCTGCTGCATGTCTTAGAGCAGCGCACGACGGGCATAGGCCTGTACCACCAGCACCCAGGAGCCCGAGGCAGGAGCACCGTCCCGAGACTGGTCGAATGAACCACCTCACGATCTCCACACACATTTCCTATACACCTGCAGTACGGCACACGTCCTTGTCACACACAGCACACACACACACTTACCCACGACTCGTGATACAGGACTGTGAGGAGATACAGTGCGTAGTCATAGTTCTGTCTCTTCAGAGGGCATCTTTAAGGAGAGGAGAGGTCAAAGATTTAGCATACAGAAAATTCACAAGACATTCTAAAGTCAACAGGTAGAATTCTTTGAATTTTATCTGCCTTAGGAAAATTCTGTGCTGAGAATATTCAGGATAGCCGGACTTGGTGACACACCTAGGAGGCAGAGGCAGGTGGATCTCTGTGAGTTTGAGCCAGCCTGGTCTACAGAGAGAGTTCTAGGCTAGTCAGGATGACATAGTGAGACACTGTCTTCAGAGAGAGCGAGAGAGAAGATTCAGGATATTAAATACTGCTGTTATTTCTATCTTGGCTCTCATCATTACTGGGGTTATTTGAACATCGTTAGCTTTAAGTTACTTTAAACATGGCACGCCCAAAAAGTTCTCTTTACCATCTCAGAGCTCAGAGCCAGGCAAACAGCACCTGGTCTAATGAGACCATTTGAAAAGCAGGACAGACAAGGCTGGGGAGACAGGTCCACTGAGAAGAGCACTGGCTGCTCGTGCAGAGGACCTGGGTTCAGGTCCCAACACTCAGATGGCAGTTCACAAACCCATCTGTAATTTTAGTTCCAGGGGATCTGATGCTCTCTTCTGGCCTCCATGGCCACTGCATACATGCAGGCAAAATATTCATATAAATAAAATGGAAATAAATCTTTAAAAAAAAAGCAGATGCTGATTCTTTCAAGAATGAGCTGTACTGCATGTCTACTGCTGCTAACATTCCAATATCAAGTAAAACTTCCTATGGGAATAGGACAATAAGACAGAAAGATTAACAACCACTCCGATCTCTTTAAAGTACAAAATAAAAGCCTCATGTGGCTTCTTTAAGTCTTTTAACTCTTCATAGCTGCCAGCTTAAACCATATAACTGGATAAACGACAGATATGATCACCGATAGAAAAAGGAGCATTATCAGATGGTGTACATGTACACACAACTGCACAGAGGCACAAGTGCGCGCACACACACACACACTAAAGAACGCTAGTCTGCGAGGCTCCACCCACCTGTCTGTGGTGATAGTGAGCACATCGGTGCTCTTGCAATACCGCTCTCCCACAAGTTTTATAAGTTTCTTCTTTGCATGGTTGTCTAAATTCAAACTGGAAAGTTTAACCTTAAAAATACAAGAAAAGAATATGTAAAAAACATCATATAATTTGTTTAATGAAGAAAGGCAGCACTACTATTTAAATCAACATTAAGCTCACAAAAACAAAACTTGCCCAACTTCTCTGTAGGCAGCCAGCAGTCAGCAAAGCACACAACCCAGCGTTACTCTCGGAAAGCTGAAAGGCAAAGCGGACACGGTACGCCCAACTTCTCTGTACGCAGACAGCAGTCAGCAAAGCACACAACCCAGCGTTATTCTCGGAAAGCAGAAAGGCAAAGCTGACACGGTACGGACTCGGCTGCAGTGCTGGCGCCCGCACCACAGGATAGACACCCAGCTGTGAGAAGCACTAACAGAAGAAACCCAATCTCTGTCAGTGCGCTGGACACTCAGATAGCACAGACCTAGGCACTCCCGACCTTTCCGCCATAAGAGCAGGTTACTGCATGGCTGCAACTGGTCCAGCAATGGAAATGGCACCCGGCCTGTAAACGCCCCAGGAGGCCAGAACATCACCCAGGGAAGAGTCAGCTTTCGTCAGAAGCTAACATTGGCTACACGGCTGGTAGGAGCTTGTCTGGCAGGCAGGCAAAGTGCTGACTGGCACAGAGCCCTAACCACCAAGCCTGGTGACCTGAGCTCCATCAACAGACCCCACACGGCAGAATGAGAAAACAGACTTCCGCAGTTGTCCTTGGCCACCATAGAAGGATGGATACACAGAAGGACGGACACACACACAGAAGGACGGACACACACAGAAGGATGGACACACACACACACACATACACAAATGAATACATTTTTTTTTTTTGTTTTTTGTTTTTTAAGACAGGGACTCTGAGTAGCTATGGAACCAGTACTGGAAGTTGCTTGAACTCAGAGACCCACCCACCTGTCTCTGCCTCCCGACTGCTGGGATTAAAGGTGTGCACCACCACTGCCTGGCTCAAATACAATTTTTTAAAGGATATAGGGGCTGCCTAGAAAAAACATTTTCTCTCCCTCATCTCCGTAACGCCTTTTGGCAAACAGGGGATTAAAGTGCTATCTGGCATACATCAGGCACACACTCTGCCAGTAGCTATACTCCTAGCTCAGAGTCTTTTCTCTAAAGGGCGACTCTGGGGTTTTTGATCCTACTGCACGTACTGGCTTTGTGGGAGCCTAGGCAGTTTGGATGCTCACCTTATGAGACCTGGATAGAGGTGGCAGTCCTTGGGCTTCCCACAGGTCAGGGAACCCTGATTGCTCTTCGAGCAGATGAGGGAGGGGGACTTGATCAGGGGAGGGGGGAGGGAAATGGGAAGCAGTTGCGGGGACGAGGCAGAAATCCTTAATAAATAAATAAATTAAAAAAAAAAAATAAAGGGCGACTCTGTAGCTCAGTGGAGGAGTGTCTGCTGTGCACATCCGCAGGGTCTCAGGTACAATCCCCAGCAAGGCCAAGAGAGAAACGCTATTTCTAGTTCTACTGGAACATGTAAGAGACAGTGAGTTTAATCTTTCTGTGTGCTGAGACAGAACCTAGGAAAACTGTACTCACTATATAGCCCGAGTGCCTCAGGCTTGAGACTGTCACCCTAGCCTCCTCAGTGCGAGGATCACAGGCCTGTGCCACCAGGCCACTTCTGAACTAGATTATTTACAGGCTGTTCTCAGAGCATCTGGAGTTTCAAGATGCTCTGGTACAGGAGTGGTTCTCAGTGTACTGGCCTTCAGTTCCACTTCCCATGGAGTTAGTCTTCCTGAAGACACACTGGGGAATACAGAACTGAATGAGAACTCTTTAGTTCGCAGAGAATTGTGTCAAGGGTTAAGGTATTAACTAGAGATAGGTAAGTCTGACATTAGAATATAGTTCAATAAAATACTACTAACCTATTTTTTGTTATTATAATAAAATTTCTAAAGTTGATTGATGTGGGATTCCCCTCTGCATGCTGTGATTACCATTGGTGAATAAAGAAACTGCTTGGGCCTGAGCAGGGAATAGAGGCAGGCGGGGAAAACTAAGCTGAATCCTGGGAAAAAGGAGGTAGAGTCAGAGAGAAGCCATGTAGCCCCACTGGGGACAGACACTGGAACTTTATCCAGTAAACCATGGCTATGTGGTAACACACAGATTAATAGAAATGGGTTAAATTAAGATGTAGAGTTAGCCAATAAGAAGCTAGAGCTAATGGGCCAAGCGGTGATTGAAATAATACAGTTTCTGTGTGGTTATTTCAGGGCTGAGCAGCTGAGAACCAACACATGGCCTCCCATCAACAGTTGATCAACTTTATAAAGAAACAGGTTTATTCATCTGCAGTTCTGGGGGTGCAAGGACATGCCACTGGCCCTGTAGGAAGGAACAACCACATCCCAAGACAGGGAGCCAAGACAGCATCTCAGGCTTAGCTTCTCTACTAGCAGCTTGCTCTGTAAAGAACTAGCCCAGATCTCACAAGCACTGTCAGTCCCTCCCTCCCCAGGACGGTACCCCACGACTTAAGAACTTCCACAGGTCCCAGTTCATCACTGCCACATTGAACACCAAGATCCCAAAACCCAAGTCTTCAGGGACAGGTGGCAACCATATGCCTGTCACAGCAAGCATAGTTTGCTCTCTGGAAGGCATCAGGAATAAGAAGGAACTGAAACCTCAGGAAGAAGAAAAGAGGCTAAGCAGGATTCTCAGATTCTACCGTCTTCATCTCTTAGTTCAGTAACCCTGGCCTCCTCTCCCAACACCACTGCACACAGCTTATTCCATTTCTCCACCGAATTACATACAACCTTTGCGGGGAGAACACTGACTACTCTATTCTCGGCAATAGTGGAGGTGTTTGGTAAATTAACATATAAAGTTTAAAAAGAAAGGAACTGAGTCGTGGTGCATGCCCACACCCCAGCAGTTAGGAGGATCTCAAGTTCAAGACAGCTGGGGTTCCACTGTGAGACCCTGTCTCAGCAAACAATTCACTATCACACTGCCCTCTGCAGGCGATGAAAGCCACCGCTGTCTTCTGGAGAGAGTATGCTTGATAAATAAGCAACTCACTGTGCTGACGGACAGGTAACAATATGGAGAAAGAGTTGTATGAAGAGAGCACCGCACCACTCTCTAACAGTGCCAGTGTGTGTACATGTATCCACATGCAGCGACAACATGCAGTGAGAGGAGCACCCTTCACGCTAGGGTGTGCGAGAATACACGTAGTAGGGTATATTAGGTATTCTAATGAGAATATAGTGACTTTTAAACAGCTAAGAAATTATAACATTAAACAATAACAATTTAAATTCCAATTTTTATGCCAATGTTCAAAAAACTGGCAGCAATGTTGATTATTACTGCAATCATTGTTTTAAAGCTCATATTCACTCGAGCATCCTAGGTAAAAAGATTCTAGCCAGACTCTGAAGCTCTTCAGAGTGGTTCTGTGGCACATTCACGCTACCTCCTAGGCAGCAATGGCACTGCAAACCCTCATCTCTGAGCTGGACCAACACTCTGGCTTCAAGGCCAAGTGTCATTCACAGTCTCTCTTCCCAAACACGCGCTTCACAAGCTGTGGATTCCACAGTCTTGTGCTAGTAACATTATCCCCAAACGATGCTGCCACTTCCGGCCACAGGAGGCAGTAGTGAGACGTGCTATCCTCAAATGTCAAGAACTACACGACACTGAAGAATGCCCAAGTACATAAAATGACCCCCATATACACAAGCGAATGGACAGAGCTGTGGCACCCACAAAGAACCGAGCCAGACTTCCAGGTTTGCCACTTGCTCTGTAGCTGCAGGTCACTTGATCTCCCACAAAGACTGTTTTCTCAGCACAACTAAGTTCACAGGATTTTTGCAGAAATATATGAGATTAACAGGAGAAAACACTTTTTGTTTGTTTGTTTTTCGAGACAAGGTTTCTCTGTAGCTTTAGAGACTGTCCTGAAACTTGCTCTGTGGACCAGGCTGACCACGAACTCACAGAGATTGCCTCTGCCTCCGAGTGCTGGGATTAAAGGTGTGCACCACCACCACCCGGCTGAGGAAAGCACTTCTGAAGTAAAGTCTTACACAAACATAAAGTGTCTCTAATTCTGAACAACTTTTCTGACTATGGAGAAATTCTGTAGGTTTGCACGGTGGGGCCTGGAGAAGCGGCTGTACAAGCATAAGGTCCTGCATTTGGATCCCAGCTCCCACGGAAACATCAGGACTGCCTGTGGAGCCGGGGTCTCCTGAGCAGGCTGGCTAGGCAGATCAACAAGCTCTGGGTTCACAGGACAGGTCCTGCCTTAACTAGCTAATAGGATGATTCCTGACTTAAGCCCAGGACCTCCACACATGCTTACATAGACATGCACTTACACATACACACGAGCCCACAAACACACTAACAAGCACATGCATGCATATATACCAGAACAGAGACAAGCATACACACATGTATACACACACAAAAACAAGCATGCACACACACACAAATAAGCATACACGCACACAAACACAAAAACAAGGATACACACATGCACAAACATATGTATATACACAGAAAGTATGCACACACACACACACACACACACACACAAAACACATTCACAGAAAAACAGGCATATATCAATGTTCACAAGCCACACAAACACAATAAATGTGATCCCTGCAAATACTATTGCTGTGGTTTGGACGTGAAATGTCCCCATAGGCTCATGTGTCTGAGTACTTTATCCACAGGTGGCGGTGCTGTACTGAGACATTACAGAACCTCTGGGAAGCAGGGTCTGGCTGGAGGAATCAGGGAGCTGAGAGGACAGCCTCCATGTTACGGTGTGGCTCCATATCCAGGCCAAGCTTGCTGCTTACCGATGCAGAGGCATGAGCAAGCTGCCCCCACGCTCCTGCTGCTATGCTTTCCCCACCGTGAAAGGGTAGCCAAGTAAATCTGCCCTAAACTGCTTCTGTTAGGTACTCTGTCTCTGTAATAAGAAAGCCATGAATGAAACTATATTACAGAATTTGTTTTCCTTCCCCACACTGATTTAGTTTAGCCCCAGAATTCATGTAAAGGTGGAAAGAGAGAACCACTGCACAGAAGAAAACTAACGACTGTTTAATAATCGCTAGCCATGTTTATTCCTAGGAAATACAACGCAGATTACAATGCACACACAATACCATCCCATCAAACACAAAGAAGGACTGAGCAGTAAAACACGCATTCGTTTTATAACGACATGCAGAATGCACTTAAAATACATCTAACAGCAGCCACGGTGTAAACGCTCCTCTTACCCTCAGCGTCACCACTCGTGATTTGGGGTTCCGAACAGATGGTCCTGAGGACACGTAGTCAGCTGTGTCGATCTCGATCGGAAAATGCTTCTCACATTTCTCATCGCTGTCCAGTGCAGCTGGCCACTCCGTGCAGAAATCTGAGAGGATGAAAAGTTATCTCATTCACAGCTCTGTAATGACCACGTGACACAGGCTGGAGACTGGACAGTCACGGGTAAGCTGTCCTCTGCATCGGCCTTTCCTCTGCGGTCCACCCTACCCTGATAATGTTCAGTTTAGTGGGGAGCAGGGATGCTGGGGTGTGGCTGAGAGTTTGCCATGCCCACAACCCAGTCCCCAGCACTGAAACTGAAAACACCCATGATGGACGCTCCAGGCTCTGCGAGCAGCTGCTGTTTAACTCCTCTTTCCCAACAACAGGCAGACAGCTTGGTGCCCAGAGTCTACTGCTTGTGAGCAGCAAGAAGGAACGATAACCATTCCCAAATCGACACCACTAGAAAGATCAACCGACAGGAATTGGAACCCCAGAAGGAGCTAAATCCTGTCAGCGTTCTTCCTGAACCTGACGTATATCATCGCCAGAGGGTCCGAACACTAACTCTTGTTCTTCCACTTGACCCCAGTGAGCAGTGGGGTGACCCTAGACAGAAGGTAGTTGCGGGTCTCAAGCACTTATGGTCAGGGTTCTCATTCCCCGAGCCGAGGTATAAACTCAGTTCCCAGTTTGTTGATGGGGAGTCGCTGCCAGCTTCCCAGTTATTAGGATCTGACTTCACAGCGCCCTACGTGGTCAAGTCTGCATGGAAGAGGGTTTAGCTGCGGATGAAGACTTCTCACACCGGGGCTTTTCTCGATCCTTGAAGAGCCCCACTCTAAGAGCAAATGACAGCAACCGGTTCCTCAGGCTGTGAACAGCAGACCTCACAGACTCAAGCTTCCCCTGCAAAGCACACTGTGAGAAAAGCTGGCCATCTCTGTGACAGCTAACCGGGGGACTCGGAGAGGCCTTCGCCTGTGACATTTCCCCAAGCTAACAATTTCCCAACTGTAGTAATTTGTTCATCTTCCTTTAGGCTTCCTCCGAGTCTGTAAAATGTCACTCTGAATTACAAAGGTCCTCTGAAATCAGTGACTTGGATTGCTACAGCAGGTCATGAATTCAAGGCCACCCTGGGCTACACAGGGAGTGACAGCCAGAGCGAGCCACACTGCAAGACCTTGTCTCAAACAGAACAAACCCCCACAAAACAACAAACCCCTAAAGCCTGTACACGAGGGAAGGAAGAATGGCGAATATTTTGATGTGAAGAAAAGACCAGAGGGCAGAGCTGACCGTCATGTCCACCGTGGACTCAGGCAGCACCCGACGCCAGAACGTAGGCCACCAAGCACTTGTGGAGACCATCTGATCAGTTCACAGACTTTTGGTTTTGTATAGGATATTTTTTCTTTTAAACTGCAAATAAGTTATTTCAATCATCAGATGATAATTACAGTTTTTACATTAAATTACCTAAATTACGTGCCCCCAAAAACCACAGCCAAGTGGGAAGCACGTAACAGCCCATCAGCGCCTGATAGGTGTGGCAGTGGTCGGCTCTGAAGAGCCTCGGCGAGCCTCGGCGTTTATGTAACTTCTCCTCTGGCTCTTCAGCCGTGGTAAATTACTGAACTTTCCTGCATTTCACATTTTCCATTTGCAAGTTAGATACAAAATCTGAAGTGACCTACTTTGAAAGAAAACTGAGAAGAAACGCTGAAAAACCTTGAGTCTTTTGGAAGCCAGAGACGGCAGAGGTGTAATTAGGAAATGAGAAAGCACTCGCTTATGTCAGGGCTGCCACACAGAAGCCTTCGCTTCAGTCTAGGAACTGGAGAACTCCTTCATCAAAACAATCGGTTGCTAGAATACAGGCACATTTAAAAATAGTACTTAAAAGAGAAAAATGGGGTCGGCAGATCGGCTGAGAGAGTAAAGAGGCTTGCTGCCAAGGCTTGACTACCAGAGCTTGATCCAGGGATCCACATGGAGGAAGGAGAACTGAGTCTCGTAAGATATCCCTGACCTCCATATGCACACCATGACCAGCACATGCCCTAACATGCAAACATGCACATACAGAAGAAATGTTATTTAAAATTACCCTGTCTCGAAAAACCAAAAAAATAAATAAATAAATAAAATAAAATTACTTTTTTAAAAATTAAAAGATAAAAAAAATGCAATTTATCACGGTATATTGGAATGCATTTGTTAACTGGCTTTTACAAGATTAAAAAAATGGAATTCAATCTGTGGGACATCAATTTGGAACAGTTGTCACTTTTAGAAATGTCCTAGGTTTTGTTCCTTTCCTAAAAAGTCAGAACAAGTCCTCTGCACACGGACAGAGCCTCTGACGGGATAACCAGGGACACTAGGATGCCATCTGAAGTTGCTTACGGAATACCCAACAGCAAACACACACACACACACACACACACACACACTATGGAATACCCAACAGCACACACACACACACACACACACACACACACACACACACTATGGAATACCCAACAGCAGACACACACACTATGGAATACCCAACAGCAAACACACACACACACACACACACACACACACACACACTATGGACTACCCAACAGCACACACACACACACACACACACACACACACACACTATGGAATACCCAACAGCAGACACACACACAAACACACACACTATGGACTACCCAACAGCACACACACACACACACACTATGGAATACCCAACAGCACACACACACACACACACTATGGAATACCCAACAGCACACACACACACACACACACACACACACACACACTATGGAATACCCAACAGCACACACACACACACACACACACACACACTATGGAATACCCAACAGCACACACACACACACACACACACACACTATGGAATACCCAACAGCACACACACACACACACACACACACACACACACACACACACAAGAACTACGTGAAAATGTCTGCCTTCAAGTCATTGCTGCTGGAGAGAGTGGCGTTCCTCCGCAGGCTCACTTGTGTGAGCTGGTGGCATTGCTCTGGGAGGCGGTCCACCTTTAGGAGGTAGGGCCGAGCTGGAGGAAACTGGTGTGGGGTTACTGTTCTGCCACTTTACACTCCAGCTGTGTCAGTCAGGAGCCCACAGCCATGCCTTCCCTGCCACGACAGATTAGAATCCCTCAAATTATGAACCCAAACAAATCCATCACAGTTGTTTCAGTTGGGTAGTCGGTCATACTACAAGAAAAGTAGAAATAATTCACTGGGCAGTGGGGATGCATGCCTTTAATCCCAGCACTCAGGAGGCAGAGGCAGGCGGATCTCTGTGAGTTCGAGGCCAGCCTGGTCTACAAGAGCTAGTTCCAGGACAGGCTCCAAAGCTACAGAGAAACCCTATCGTGAAAAACAAAACAAAAAGTCCTACTAATCCACGTGGGAAGGAGAAGGCCACAATGCAGGTGGATGACAGACACGCCAACGTCCAGGGAGCAACAGACGCTGCTCCAAGCCAGCAGCTCTGGAGCTGCAGTGGCCGTGTTCCTGCATTCACCACTGTTCTTCACACGCAGGCACAGCACACAAAGCACACACTGCAAGAACAAAGAAACTCGGTTTTCTGGAAGGGGTTACAAGAACTAAGTGATAACTAAGAGATTTTTCTGGGATGAGAGGCAGGAATAGAATAGCAGGAGGCTTCAACTATTTGATTAGCCACATGTACCAATCACTTTTAAGTTGTCAGTGTTAACAATTAACCAGGTCAAGTCTGAATCATGAGGCAGAGGCAGGAAGATCACTGCAAGGTGGAGGACAGTTTTCTATACAGCATGTTTCAGATCAACCTGGGCTACACAGCAAGATCCTGCCTCAGGTAGGTAGGTAGGTAGACAGAAGATAGGTAGATAGATAGATATGTATGTAGATAGATAGATATGTATGTAGATAGATAGGTAGGTAGGTAGGTAGGTAGGTAGATAGACAGATGATAGGTAGGTAGATAGATATGTATGTAGGTAGGTAGGTAGGTAGACAGATGATAGGTAGGTAGGTAGATAGATAGATAGATAGATAGACAGACAGACAGACAAACAACTCAAGGATAACCACAGTGTGGGGTCCCACTGCTGACCCTCCAGCAGTTTGGCTACTCAGCTCATCCTACACTCTTAAGCCCGAGTCTCAGGTATCTGTCCAGTCCACACAAGTGCTTTCTCTACCTCAACAGCAATTGAACCCACCTACAAGCAAGAATCACAGCAGGTGGATCTAGTCCAGTGCTGGGGGGAAGCCAGCTTAGGGTCGTGGGGTGTCCTGGGGACCTCGGGAACAGTATCCATCAGAACTTCACAGGGAGACCCTACTGCTGAAGAGAGTAGTGAGCTGGTACTGACCGAGGCTTCCTTCCCACTGGCTAGCTAACAGTCCCGGAAGTGGCTCCGCAAGCTGCCAGGGTAAAAATCATTAGCGGTTTCACAGAGCTATGAACTACAGGCTACAATAACAAATCATATGTCAAGATACGCCCATGTGTGTGACAGTGACACACACATCATGAGGTCACCAGCCACTTATGGACTGGATATAAGCCCCCCCACAGGAGGCACACACCCAATACGGGAAACGTGGCTGAGAGTCCACAAGTGGGGAGCACGCAGGCCCCAGGGGTGAACATACTATTATCTGGCTCACGGACATGGCACGAAACTGTCCTCTAAATTCACGTCTCTATACAACAGATTAGGGCAGCTCTGGGACCACATCAAACTAGGGGACAGTGCAGGAGACAGTGGCTAGTTCTAATTTCACAACTGGCTAAGTGTCTGAAAGGCTCAACAACCACTGGGAAATCTTCTTACCCTGCCCCAAGGCTTAGGGACTGTCGCTTCAGAGAGGGCGGAGGAACCGCAGCTGTGGCTGTCGACACACGAGCACTCCAGTCAACAGAGTGGGGAGGGGCTCTGAGTCCCCGTCCCCACATGAGGAGCCAATGATGGCCAATGTCTTCTTGGAGAGGGAGATTCAGACTTGCTTACTCCAAGCAGGTCAACCCCTGCTGCCACGGATGGCCCCACACCCATGAACTTAGGAGTGGGAGGTTTTATTAGGATGGGATGAAGGTGGATACAATAAAAATATACTGCATGCATGGACGGGAATTTCATACTTTCACATCTGAACTCATTCACTTTATGGAATGAACCATATGTAGGATGACCAACAATATGGAAAATGCAGCAATTCAGCTTGTGGATAAATGTACTGGCCTGAAGGACAGTATTTCAGGAAAGAATCACTGTGGCTTCTTACGATCAAGTGCAGCTGTACAGACATGACCCCACTCCAGTGGAGAGGGCAGGACACACAGACAACAGCACAGCGAGAGGAGCAACTGTGTGCTCACACCGGCCAACTGCTGTTGTGGGTAGTTTACACTGGATGAAGACGAATGGCTTGTGATTGGTGTACTAAGCAGCTGAACAGCCAATAGCGAGGCAGGAGAGACAGGCAGGACTTTGGGCAGACAGAGCGCTGGGAAGAAGAAAGGTGGAGTCGCCAGCCAGATGTGGAAGAAGCAGGATGGGTAGGACAGAGTAAAGGTAACCAAGTCACATAAAAGAACACAGGTTAAAAGATACGGGTTAATTTAAGTTATAAGAACTAGTTAGGAACAAGCCTAAGCTAAGGCTGCGCTTTCATAATTAATAAGTCTCATATCACTATTTGTGAGCTGGTAGCCTAAAGACAAATCAGCCTACAATCTGCTTCTGCTATTGCACATCTATTAAATATTCTTGATGGTGTTTATTTTTAAATATAAAACGGAACTAGGGTAACACAGACTGCCTTCTGGTGAGTAAATACAGTGTGCATAGCCAAGCCTTAGTTTCAACCTCTGTTTGTTTCTGATGAGTTTACAGTGCTCAGCAGTAATTATTTATACAAGGGCTGCGAGGTGGCTCTGCAGTTAAGAGCTGCTCTTCCAGACAGGGACCTAGGTTTGAGTCCCAGGACTCAATGGCTGACAACCACGTTTAACTCCAGTTCCAGGGGACCTGACACCCTTTTCCGGCACTAGGCATGCATGCACAGGGCAGACACATATGCAGGCAGGTAAAACACCCACATGCAATACACACATAATGGTAACAAACACGAACTGCTGCTAATACACTGAACATCTTAAACTATTTACAAACTGATGTTAATGGAGAGAGAAGCAGGAGGGTGGAGCACTCCGGGAGTACTACCATATTACAGCATTTGGTGGGAATATATCTCACGCTAGCTTGGGCTACATAGCAATATCCAGGCCACCCTGGGCTATCTAGTAAAGAAAAACAAAACTCTCAACAAAACAAAAGGGAAAGGAAAGAGACAGTGACTCAGAGCGGAAGGCTACGTCTCATTAGACTCAAGTCTTTCTGCATGTGAAATCAGCCCCAGGCTCCCAGAGAAAAGCATACCTTTTAGAGCTGCACAGTGCCTCCTAATCGCCACAGGAGTCAGATGCAGGAAATTTGGGATCTAAAACAGAGAGGTTTTAAAGAATAAGTTACAGTCAAATCTCCCCCAGCCACCCCCTTTTCGTGAGCTGTAGTATCAACATACTTCCTAGATATATTCTCAAACTCCCAGGCTCTAGTGACCTTCCTACTCAAGCTTCCAGAGCAGCTGGGCTACAATCATGCATCACCACGCCTGCCATGTCATAAACGCACGAGAAGGATCATATTCCTATAGCCTGAACCAAAACCAGTAAATCACATAAATAAAAGGGGACAGCTCTTCCGCAGCATCAGTCCAAGCCCCGAGACTCTGTGTGGTTTATTTCCGATACACCAGAATCAGATGGCGCTCATCTTTCATTTTACATGTCTTACAAGACAGCAGTCATGTTAAAACATAAACACTGCCATAGCATTCTTTATGCCATGCATCTACAGCGTTCATGTGCTACTCCACTATAAACCAAAGGCACTCAGGGTGTGTTAGCTCACACTAGCAATTCCAGCACTCGGGGAGACTGTGAAGGCAAGGGCACCCCGGACTGCACAAGACAGTCTCATAAATCCAGAAAACAACAACAACAATAATTTTGAAAGCGTGTAACACCAATCTGTCAATCCCCAATTCTCCAAGAAGCCTGGCACATTATTTCTGCTTACACACAATAGGCACTTCATAAACTGAATGAACAAAGCCGGCAAGTCTCAACTACACAGATGATTGTATTTATTAACTAAGCTTTTGAGAGAGAGTCCCTGTAGCCCAGGCTAACCTGACACTTGCTATGGACTCCGGATCCTCCGGCCTCGGCCTCCAAAGCACTGGTACTGCAAGCATGCGCCATCACACCAGCTCTTATCTGACCAGTCTAGTGAAGTCAGGAACACATTTGTGCTGATACAATACAGCAGAAAGTCAAAGAGTTGATTCCTTTCAAACAAGTAGTTCTTACCAGCGTAACTTGAATTGAATCTAAGTGTTATTGTTTTAAAAAGACTTATTCATGTTCTTTTTTCTGTATGAGGGTTTGCCTGCACGTATGTATGTACGCCCTGCATGCCTAGAGCTGGAGTCTGTTGGGATGCGCTGACCCCAGGGATTGGGGTTAGATGGCTGTGAGTTACCATGTGCATGTATGTATGTACGCTCTGCATGCCTAGAGCTGGAGTCTGTCGGGACGCGCTGACCCCAGGGATTGGGGTTAGACGGCTGTGGAATCATAACAACCGGAAGAGTGGAGGAGCGGCCAGTGCTCTTCAGTGCTGGTCCAGCTCTCCAGCCCCTACCAGCACAAGTTTTATAATAATGTTGGGCATGTAAGAAGCAATTTATCTTAAGGAAACTTATTTGAGAAAAAAAAAAAGTTAAAAAGCAGAAAGTTACTCTAAAAACTTGAATTTTGAATGTTGATTAGAATATATTTCCTTAAAATCCAGGGGGAAAAAAGAACTACATGCTAGGATTATGGAATGGGCAGTTTTTTTTTTTTTTTTGAGACAACGTTTCTCTGTAGCTTTGGAGCCTGTCCTGGAACTAGCTCTGTAGACCAGGCTGGTATCGAGCTCACAGAGATCCGCCTGCCTCTGCCTCCCGAGTGCTGGGATTAAAGGCACGTGCCACATGTTCTCTTATTTTTGAAACATGTGAATCCTAGGATCACCAAAGAAACGCAGCTGGTGCAGATGAGGCAGTGAGCATGCTCGGTGATCCAGCTCAGGAACAGATGTCAGCACCGACAGAGATGTGACAGCCCTCTGCCTGCACCAAGTTCCCTCCATCTGAAGGCCCGTCTGTCTCCTGTCTGCTGGAAATGCTCTCCTGGGCAAGTCTCCCCCGTGTCCTTCCTGTCCTGTCCCCTCCTCTTTATCAAAGTGTTAGAACTCTAGCACACGGGTGTGGAAACAGGAGGAGCAGACACAGTAAGTGTGAGGCCACTCTGGCTGTGACTTCCCTCACAACAATCATCAGTGTGCAATCTGCATGCTAGTTCTCAACATCAGGTTATTCTGTCCTCCTTGGTTCCACCTGAAGGACACAACAGCAAGGCCACAGGGAAGCCAGAGGACTGATCTAATTTATCAGATGCCCGCGACCCCTGGAGTCTTCTTTACAGGAACAGCACCCATCCCTGCCCGAATAAGATCTGAAACACGATGAGCCGCTCTCTACTGGGCCCTAACACGAAGGTGGGGCGGGGATGAGCACCCACCAGGACTAGAAGAGTCCTTTGTACACTGTGAAGATGGTTTACTCTCACTGGTTTAATGGAGCCAACTGTCCAACAGCTGGACACAAAGAGGTCAGGCGGGAGAGGCAGACTGAGAGAACACTGGGAAGAAGGAGGGCGGAGTCGCCAGCCAGATACAGAGGAAGTGAAAATGAATGGGTTGTACTGAACACAGCCGTGGTAGGGCGTAGATAAGAAATACGGTTAATTTAAGTTGAAACAGCTGGTTTGTAACAAGCCTAAGCTATTGACTGAACATTTATAATACGTCTCTGTGTGGTTATTTGGGAGCGGGTTTTGGTGGTACAGCCCACCGAAGAGCTGTCTGGGCCCTGAACCAGCTCCTTACCTTTAACAGCTCTAGATTTCCCTCCTTTGCCAAGGGCACACCCTTCTTGACTGGATACCCCATTCGGACAGGCAGAGGAACAGCAGAGGGTTTAAATGGCGCCGCAACCGGGTAGACACTGGGCCAGTCCTGGTCAACGTCCATCTTCTCTGTCCTCGGAGGCAGCGCCTAAGGAACAGAAAATACTTTAAATTTTACAATATAAACATATTCTTCAATTTTAAGACAAAAGCTATAGCTAAGATACAGAAAAGTTGCAAAACCTGATTTTCAGGACTGAGAGAAACTGAGAAAGGCTGTGCACACCTGAATTTGACCCTGGGACTCCAAGGTGGAAAAAGAACCAACTCGACAGAGCTGTCCTCCAAACTCCAGCCTGCATCTGCAGCACCCACACCCACACAACACACACACAACAAATGAATGGATGGATTCCCAACAGATCTGTTAAGTAAAAGACACTAATTCAGCATAAATATCTCTGCTCAGCTGCTTCAAATTATGACAAGCTCCCCTTTAGATCACATTTCCTTCACAAGAATTAAACAATCTATTTATGTAGTTTATGAAACATATTTATGAAGTTTATAAAAACCTCAATGACATAAGTCAACACAAGAGGATGTTAAGAACTTGGAGACAGGGCTGGGATGTGGCTCAGTGGGTAGTGTTGCTTAGATGCACGAAGCTGGGCGGAACCGTAGCAACTAGGTATGGTGCTCCATTCCCGTAAGCAGTGCTCAGAAGCTCTAGGCCAGGGGCTGGAGAGATGGTTCAGTAGTTAGAAGCACTGCCTGCTTTTGCAGAAGACCCAGGTTCAGTTCCCAGCACCCACATGGTGGCTCATAACTGTCTGTAACTCCAGTTCCATCTGACACCCTCCTATTGCCTCCTTGGATACCAGGCACAGATGGTACAAATATATACATACGAGCTAAATGCTCATACACACAAAATAGATATTTAAACATTTTCTAGAAAAAGTTCTAGGTCATACTTCTTACAAAACAAGTTAAAGGCTACAGGAGACCACGCCTCAAAAAGAGGAGGAAATAGTACGGGTGGGTGGGGCAGTGGGGAGGGGACATGTCGTACAGAGGGTGGGGGTGGGGAGGGAAGAGTATAGGAGGGTGGGGCAGTGGGGGAGGGAACAGTACAAGAGGGTGGGGGGAAAGTACAGGAGGGTGGGGCAGTGGGGGAGGGGACAGTACAGGAGGGTGGGGTGGGAAGGGAATAGTACAAGAGGGTGGGGTGGGGAGGAAACAGTACAGGAGGGTGGGCAGTGGGGAGGGAACAGTACAGGAGGGTGGGGTGGGGAGGGAACAGTACAGGAGGGTGGGGTGGGAAGGGAATAGTACAAGAGGGTGGGGTGGGAAGGGAACAGTACAGGAGGGTGGGCAGTGGGGAGGGAACAGTCCAGGAGGGTGGGGAGTGGGGGAGGGGACAGTCCAGGAGGGTGGGGTGGGGAGGGAACAGTACAGGAGGGTGGGCAGTGGGGAGGGAACAGTCCAGGAGGGTGGGCAGTGGGGGAGGGGACAGTACAGGAGGTTGAGGTGAGGTGGGGAGGGAACAGTCCAGGAGGGTGGGCAGTGGGGAGGGAACAGTACAGGAGGGTGGGGTGGGGAGGGAACAGTACAGGAGGGTGGGGTGGGGAGGGGACAGTACAGGAGGGTGGGGTGGGAAGGGAATAGTACAAGAGGGTGGGGTGGGAAGGGAACAGTACAGGAGGGTGGGCAGTGGGGAGGGAACAGTCCAGGAGGGTGGGCAGTGGGGGAGGGGACAGTCCAGGAGGGTGGGGTGGGGAGGGAACAGTACAGGAGGGTGGGCAGTGGGGAGGGAACAGTCCAGGAGGGTGGGCAGTGGGGGAGGGGACAGTACAGGAGGTTGAGGTGAGGTGGGGAGGGAACAGTCCAGGAGGGTGGGCAGTGGGGAGGGAACAGTACAGGAGGGTGGGGTGGGGAGGGAACAGTACAGGAGGGTGGGGTGGGGAGGGAACAGTACAGAAGGGTGGGGGGGGGCTCGGGAATAAGGGAGATAAGCGAGTGTAAATATTTAGGGGCCAGAGATGGCTCAGCAAGTAAAAGTGCTGCCTCCAAGCCCGACAGCCTGAGTTCAAACCCTGGGACCCACACAGCAGAGAAAACTGACTTCGAGAGCTCTCCTCTGACCTTCACATGTGCACAACACTCACAATAGAGGAAGCACTTTGAGATAAATTTCAAAGTTAAATAGATTTAAAAATACATGATGTCTCCAAACCCGAGACAGTGACTTGAAAGCTTAGTCACATTAACATACTTGTATGCACGCAAAAGTGTACATGGAAAGGGAAAGCCTCTGCGCAAAAAGGAGGGCTTGGGGTTAAAGGCAGGGCACGACTCAGTGGTTGAGAGCATTTACTGTTTGTGCAAAGCATCCAAATTCTGTCCCCAGCACCCACATCAGGTGGCTCACAACCACCCAAAACAAAAAAGTAAATATTTTTCTAATTTATTAGTGCGAATCTACACACCAGCAGCAGTGTGGTCCATGTCCCAGAGTGGGAAACTTTTCTCTGAAAACTACTGCTCAAAATGACCGATGCTTGGGCCTCTGACTCTATGCTCGTCAGCTGACCTTAACTCCTGAAGATGTCCAGAGAGGAACTGATGGGGGATGGCTGACTGCTGAAGGTGTCACCGGTCTGTACTCTGGGTCACACCTCACACCTGTCTACCCCTAAAGCTGCTGTGTTCTTACACTAACTACTAACAGACTATGGTAGCTAAGACTGCTGCGTTCTTACACCAACTACTAACAGGCTATGTTAGCTAAGGCTGCTGTGTTCTTACTCTAACTACTAACAGACTATGGTAGCTAAGGCTGCTGTGTTCTTACACCAACTACTAACAGACTATGGTAGATAAGGCTGCTGTGTTCTTACTCTAACTACTAACAGACTATGGTAGCTAAGGCTGCTGCGTTCTTACACCAACTACTAACAGACTATGGTAGATAAGGCTGCTGCTGTGTTCTTACTCTAACTACTAACAGACTATGGTAGATAAGGCTGCTGTGTTCTTACTCTAACTACTAACAGACTATGGCTGCCCCGGAGCCCCGAGAAGCCTCCTCTGGCAGCACCCTCGGCCTCTCTTTAGGACTCAGAAATCAATACAGAGACAAGTAAATACATGTGTACCTTTCTTTTCATTGACCTTTCATTTCTGGATGCCGGACCTAAAAGACAAAAATTCGTAATGTAGCATTGTTCAAAACCACTGGCTGCAGTTCTAACGCAACTTAAGGCATTCACGAACAATGGAATGACAACCTACTTTCTTCACGTTCAAAATGGAAAGCGGAAACAAAGAAATTCCATGGCAAAAGCAAGCACATTCTTAGTTCTAGAGGGAAGAACCAGGGCACAGTCACAACCTGACAAAGAAAAACTAATCTCCAAAAATATAAACTCGATGTTCAATTATATGGGGTTCACTCACGAGCTGGACTCCTCCAAGGGCACTTGGGTCACTTCTCTGGCTCTGCCCTCTACAGCCCGCACAGATATCTGCTCAGCTCAGGGCCGGTTCTACACACACCTGCCACTTCTCTTGGTGGCTATCAACCGGATCTCCAAATGTTAGGGTCTTCTGTGAAAGTCAGCTGCGTTCACCCACGCCTCTTCTGAGCTACCTTCATGGGGCCAAGCCTCGAGGAGTTTTCTCCACAGCCCCTTCAATCCTGGGGCTTTCACGGCTACTGCAGCTGCACCTTCAGTCGCCTCTCATGGCTCCCACAGCACCAAGCTTCATCTGCTTTTCAAGGCCTCTTCATGCCTTCAAAATCAGCACCACCATTACCAGGCGGGGCTGCCAGGGGGAGGTACAACCTTGGTCACCTCTGGAACACCTCTGTGTGCTGACTCTTGAAAAACTCCCCAGATTTCACCTCAACGATGCCAGGCTCGTTCTCAGCTCCAGCTAATTATCAGCACCGATTCAGTGCTGATATCAGTGAAACAAAGGTTTTAACTTTAGTTGTTCTGGACTCTTGGTTGTTGGTTTGGTTTGGTTTTTTTGGTTTGTTTGTTTTTGTGGTTTTTTTTGAGACAGGCTTTCTCTGTGCAACAGTCCTGGCTGTCCTGGTATCTGTATGTAGGCCAGGTTCTCGATCTCACAGAGATCCCCGGCCTCTGACCCCCAAGTGCTGGGATGAAAGGAGTGCAGGTGAGCGCCACCACTGTCCAGCGTTCTGGGGGGAGCTGACCAGACACCACAGATTCTTGACACAAACAGCCCAGTAGAGTCTTTGCTTCCTCTGCAATTCCACAAGCCAGGGCTCCATCTTCTACACTGCTCTCAACATTCTTTTTTTTTTAATATTTATTTATTTATTTATTATGTATACAATATTCTTTCTGTGTGTATGCCTGAAGGCCAGAAGAGGGCACCAGACCTCATTACAGATGGTTGTGAGCCACCATGTGGTTGCTGGGAATTGAACTCAGGACCTTTGGAAGAGCAGGCAATGCTCTTAATCGCTGAGCCATCTCTCCAGCCCTGCTCTCAACATTCTTATCTTCAAGGCTCTAACCTCACAGACCACTGAGCTCTGAATGCTCCACGGCTCTTCTAACCCAAAGTTCCCAAGTCCTTCCCAATCCTCCCCAAAACACGGTCAAGCCCGTCACAGCAATATCCCACACCCATGCGCCCACTGCACAGGTTCTCTCTGAGAACACTAATAATAAAGTGGGCAATAACTCCAGAGGACACAAACTTGAAGCTAAGGCTGAGGGCTAGAGGGAGGCAGCCATGAAAGCAGGCGGGCAAGAAGTCTAAGGCCAGCGGTGGATGCTTCAGCAGCCCAGACAGCAAGGCTGGATCCATGCAGAGATTAGCATGGCCCTGCATCAGAACGGATTCAGGAAGGAGTCCTTAGTTTTACAGCTTCGCAACATTTCATTCTTTGGGTTTTAGAGAAATAAACTTTTCAGGCAGCACTTGCCCCTTAACTAGACTATAGGCATCGATTGTACATTTCCTTCTCCTTGCTGAGAATCTATGGCTTGTCGGATGTTTTCATGCAGAAAAACTCCAAACCAGGGCAAGGCGATGGAGGGATTCTAGCAACCCCAGATCCTTGCAACCAGAGTTCTGACTGGGCACAGCCCACGATCCTGCAGTGGACTTGGGGCACGTGGAATGTGCTTGCTTGAATTTCTCAGAGAATTCCTCTTGCAATGATGGAACTATGAGACTCCAAGGTATTCTGAAGAACTACCCCTTGGTCAGAAGGGTAACAAGCTGTGGAAGAACACTAAAGAAAGCAGGAACTTGATGGCGTAACCCTTAGTCACTGCTATGATGGGCACTCTAGGGCCCTTCTATGGCACTATTCATATTCAGACTGTCTCCACAAAGGAATGAGCACTGTCCCTTGTCAGTGATGCAGATTGGGGACACCCGCAGCCTCACACTTACTACTGAGAAGCAGGAATAATGCTCACTCAGCGCCTGGACACATCTGCACAGCACCAAATGCCCCTGTTTGTCTGACCCTGTGCTGCATAGAGTAGCTTCCCAGCTAGGAAGAGATAGCAGAGAATGTGGAAACAAACTCAGTGTGGCCAACACAGAAGAAAGGACAACGGAAAAGAGGGCCAAGATATTTAATGTGCTTCACCGACAAGGCAGGCGGCAAGGCCCTGCTTTCCTCCTTTCCAGTCCCTGTAAACGGGACTGCCACTCATCCCATAGCTCAGGAAAGGACCTGCCAGGCTTCCTTGAGACATACCCTCAAGGCTCACATCAAACCCACCAATAAGTCCTCTTGGCTTTGCCGTCAAACACACATCCTACAAACCAAGTCACCTTCTGCAGGGTCACCATCACCTCACTTGGAATAGCAACGGCCTCCAAACTGGTCTTGCAGCCTTCCCCTGCTGCAGTGGGTTCGCCACACTGCTGCCAGCGACCTTTTACAAGCAGAAATCTTATGTCCGTTCTAACGACTTCTATCAAAACCCAATGTCTGCGAGCCCTAAAGTTCAGACCATCGCTCTAATTTTGACGGCTGCCGCTGGTCCGCTGACCACACAGCGGGTCGGGTTGGCTGTCCTTGATCATTGCTCTCGCTCAAATCTTCAAGACTGTTCAAGCGTCTGGTTTTTTGAGGTCTCCCCTCCCTGTCTTCCCCTGCCTGGTTAGCCACTTCTTCAACAGCACGTCATTCTCCACACTCTCCACGACAATACACTCTACTGTAACTGTCTGCGCGTGTGCACGCTGGCTGTGAACTGCACCAGCCCGCCAGGCTCCGCAACTCCGCCTAGGACACACCGGAAGACAACGACGCGCCACTAGGGCGTGTGAAGGGATCTATAATTTATCCAGCAACCACGTGTGGACGGATTTTCTGCGAGTAAGAGGAAGACGAGGTTTGTCATGAGAGGAGAGCAAGAGCGGAAGGAAGAGGCCGCGGGCAGGCCCTGCAGGAGAGGGAGCTGGGGAAGGGGAGCTGCAGGCATCCGCCGCGGGGTGAGCCTGCCCGGTGGCCCCCTGTGCTCACAGCCCCTCGTCTGCACGGCCTCTCACCCCACTGGGGGCCCTGCCCGCCCCCCAGCCCGCAGCGGCGCACTCGCACTCACGCGGACCGGCTGCGGGCCTGACGGCTGAGGAGAAGGAGCGCAGGCCGCGCGCCCCCGGACACAGGATCAACCTCAGCTGCAGCGCCGCTACCGCCATGGTGGAGAAGGGCGAACCGGAGCGGAAGCGCGCCGCCCGGAGAGGGCGGAACCGGAAGTGCGTAGACGTGGGAACGGAAGTGCACTGGGCAAAGGGATGGCGGAACTGTGGCTTCCACAGGGCTGGTGTGGAATGGATGGGGGGTCTCTGACCTGGAAGTCTCGTAGTCGTCGTCTGCTGCTCTATTTTGGTTTGGTTTGTTTTTGAACAATGGCGGCTCCAAGACATTTTCCTCCTTTCCTTTTTATTTATGTATTTTACGTATATTGGTGCATGCCTGATAGCTCAGCATCGTATGCCTTCATTGCCCACAGCGGCCAGCAGAGGGCAGGGAATTGGAGCGGTTGTGAGCTTTTTCTTGTGGGTGCTGGAAATTGAGCCTGGTCACCTCTGCTTAACCTATGGGCCACCTCTCCAACCCCATTTTTTTTTATATTTATTTATTATGTATACAATGTTCTGTCTGTATGCCTGCAGGCCAGAAGAGGGCACCAGACCCCATTACAGATGGTTGTGAGCCACCATGTGGTTGCTGGGAATTGAACTCAGGACCTTTGGAAGAGCAGCCAGTGCTCTTAACCGCTGAGCATCTCTCCAGCCCCTCCAACCCCATTTTTTAATTTCTTCCCTTTTCTTACTCTCTTTTACTTCAGTCTGTTCAATCATCCTGCCCCAGTCTCTCAAGTGCTGGGATTATAGGTAAGGGCCATAACACTTTGTGTGTGTGTGTGTGTGTGTGTGTGTGTGTGTGTGTGTAGGGCAGGGGTATCGCTGCATCCTCCAGCAGTTTAAAGAAATGGCCTTCTGAACTAGATTGTTTGAGTTTAAATTTTGACTTTTCATGTCTTATTCCTGCAGAGGACCAGAGCTGGATTTCTACTATCGATGTACAAAGGCTCACAACCTCAAGTAACTCCAGCTTCAGGGGATCTGGCTTCCATGGACACTTGTAACTCTGCGCATGCACACACACACAACAATTTAAAATATAAAACAATCTTTACAAGAAATAACTCCTTTAGAACATTATCAGTAGGCAAAGACCTTTCACAGTGTAAAGCTTTGTATAGTTTGGCAATAGATGTTTTGAAACTATGTAATTTTTTTTTACGTGAAGGACTTTGGAGGTACGAAATAGTTTAAAATGTTACAAAGGCCATGAAAAGGCCTCTGGGGCACATGATTTGCATTTAGAGAGGTCCTGCACTTAGTTTAAGGCCCCTCTCCTGCTGACTTAAAGTTCTTAGCAAGTTCTGGAAGGAGGATCCACATTTTCAGTTTTCATTGATCCCTACAGATTATGTAGGTAATTCTGGGTAGAATAGTTTTAAATATTAAACCTTCGTTTAAATGGTCTTTTTTATCATTTAAAGCCTAGGTTGATATAAGAGATAACTTGAATAAAATCTAAGTTCTTCATCGAAAGTATGTGGAGAAAGTACATCTGTTTCCAAATATCCAGGCAAGAATAGAACATGCAGCCTCTTCAGCCGCCAGCACAGCACTGGTTACCTCATATAATAGAGGGAGCTGCTTAAGAGACATGGATGGTGCTGGGGGACACGTGCACGCACACAGGAGAGGTGGCTCAGCAGTGAGGAGCAGCGGCTGCTCTTCCAGAGGGCCCTATTTCGATTCCCAGCAGCCCTATGGTGGCCACAGTATTCTGTAATTCATTACAGTACCCTCTTCTGGTTTCCACAGGCACCAGGCATGCATGGGTGCATAGACCGACATGCAAGGGAAAACAGCCACACGTATAAAATAAACATGCAAATAAATAAATAAACTTAAGAAAAAAATAGATCTCCACTGGTATGGTGGCGCACACCTTTAATCCCAGCACTCAGCTGAGGTAGGTGGATCTCTGTGTGATGGAGGCTAGCCTGAAGGTCTGCATAGGGAGTTCCAAGTCAGCCAGTGACACAAAGTGAGTCCAAGTCTCAAAAGGAAAAAGAAAACATGGGTCTCAATCGTGGTTGAACATTAAGACTACCTTTAGATATTTTTAAAAATATACCCCAGTTTCCCTCCTCTATGTTGGTTAATTAGTCTAGGTGTCTTTTGAGCATTATTTTTAGCCTTGTTTTTTAATTTAAATAGCTTGTGTGTGTGTGTGTGTGTGTGTGTGTGTGCTTGCGTGTGTTCACACACGCCCATGTACACATCTGCACATCATTCATGAGGTCAGAACCAGTCCTCTCTCTCCACCCTTTGAGTTGCAGGTATCGAACTCAGGCATGGAAGCAAGGGCCTTTACCACTGATCCACCTTGCTAGCCCAATTTCTGTTTTGTTTTTTTTTTTTTTTAACGGGGGCAGGCGGGCACCCAGGATTTCAGAGGCAGAAGGATTGCAAGTTCAAGGCCAGACGAGGCTACAATTATGTACTTAGATCCTACCTCAAAAAGAATCCAATACCAACTGAGCCATCTCACTGGCCTTCGTGCCCTTTTTTAACAGGATCCTTGGTAGTCTCTAAAGACACACTGGAAATAAACATACATATGTTTATTGTGCCATTCACCATGAGATAGAAAACCCCCAAGAATGGGAACTTCATTCTTTCCATGGTTGGATTGACAGGGCATAAAACAGGCCCTTGTCCAATGAACATTAAATGATAATCTGTGAATAAACCTGTCCATTCATACTAAATCTTTTTTTTTAAGGAACATGCTTATTGGATACAAGGCAAAAGCAGCAGTATACTCCACACTGTGGAGTGCAGGGTCAGCTTCTCTTCTCAATGCTGTGACAGGATGCCTGACCGAAGCAGCTTAGGGAAGAAGGGGAATTTCAGATCAGTCTGAGGGAACAGTGCATCATGGCAGCAGGATCTCGAGGCTGGTGTTGAGCCGCCTCCCCAGTCAGAAAGCAGATTCATGAATCCTGGCACTCAACTCTCCTTCTTTCTACTCAGTCTCAGGCCCCGAGGTCAGGGGATAGTGTTGCTCACACGCACAGGCCTTCCCAACTCCCAGCCACATCCAGAGCTGTACTTCCTTGGCAATTCTAGCAATTCTAAATCCAGCTAAGTTAGCGATTTGTGATTGGCCACCGTCACAAATACCATGCCACCAGAGAGGAAAAGGATCTCTCTATCAGCAGTTCATTTCTTTTTTTTTTTTTTGCAGTGCTGGGAGTTGGACAGCGCACAAGACAGGCTTTTGTTCAATAGACATTAAAAGATAGATAATCTGTGAATGTGTTCACAGATTTCATACACTAGACAAGCACTCTACCGCCGGGCTTTATCCTTAGCCCTATCTTACTTTGTTTAAAGTTAAATAGATAAGTAATCACATGTGCTGGTACTCCTTTACTGCGATATTAAACACGACATCACATGCCCACTTCCAGAACAGGACTGGCTTCTAGTTGTTCTTCATTCTAACTTCCTCAAGGAGAGGGCTTGGGCTGAACACATGTGTCAAAGAGGGAAAAGAAAGGCTGAAGAGACTGTGTACTCATTTCGCTCCTGAGCTTATGAGGTGCCACAGAGATTACAAAAATCCTTCCCTTGCTTTCACCAGGATTTGTCTGAGTGACCACTCCTAACAGGAAGGGTTTTAGAGGCTGCTGTTTCTTAAACTTGCAAGGTATATTCACATTTGAATACAAGGCTCAGTGGACAGAAGGCTTTGCCCATACTGAAATAACATTTTTCTATCTGTGTTCTCTGTACATCCTGTGTGCTGGTCAGGAAAGGGACTCAGTGGGCTTGGATTTCACCAAAGACTATTGTACGCTAAGGTAGATTTTGGGCTACAAACTGCTCAAGATGATTCCAAGTTGGCTAGTGGAGATGGTGCACCTTCTTACAACGTTCTGGCCAGAACTTCAAAAAAGAACTTCAGAAAAGCCCTACCAACTATTCAGAGACTATCTGCAATTCTACCAGACAGTAATGTTGAAATTTAACCATAATTTTAGTTTTTACAGGATCCCATAGAAATAACATCACCCCCATGCCAGCTGGAAGTAATTCTAGAAAGCAACATCCCTTCTTGTAACCAGAGACTGCTTGCTCGTTCCTGGCTGCCCTTACCCGAATAATCCGAATAATCACACAGAAACTATATTAATTACAACACTGTTTGACCAATGGCTCATGTGTATTTTTAGCTAGTTCTTACATATTAAATTAACCCATTGCTATCATTTTATATTTTACCACAAGGCTGTGGCCTACCAGTAAGGTTCTGATGGCCTCTTCTTTGGCAGCTACGTCATCTCCCTGACTCTGCCTATTCTCTCCTGCCTGGCTTTACTCTGCTAAGCCATTGGCCAAAACAGCTTCTTTATTAACCAATGGTAATAAAACATATTCATAGCATACAGAGGGGAATCCCACATCATCCTCTCCTAGTAAAGTTTGTCCTCAGGGTTAGAGACAATAGTCATCTGTTAGGGGTTGGTTATAAGTGGTATAGGGTTGGGGGTGGAAATGAGGTAGGCTCAGGGATCTCTTTTGAAAAAAAAGGGAATGGATGGGATGATAAGTAGATTAGTGTATTTACTTATTGAGCTATTAGCTAGAGACAATTTACATTGGTATAAATTCTATATTAATATAAATTCAAATTGTATTTGTTATATTGAATATGCTATTTCTGTTTATAATATTTTTGCACCTATGCAAAGTTATTTTCTCATATGGTTTGTATGCATGTCTCTACCTCTGCTTAAGATATTTTGTATATTGATGAAATTTTAGGATATATTTATCATATTGCACTATACATTTTTACCTCTGATCAAGATACTTAATATTGTTTACATTTTGAGGTCACTGCCCTCATTTGCTAAACATTTGTTTAAAAATTGTTTAATTTTTTTAATGTGAAGCCTTAGTCTTTAAGTTATATAGGTATTAAGAATTAAAGGTCAATAGTCACCCATGTTTGTCATACTTTTAGTTAGACTAGTCAAGTCTTTAGATGCACAGAGATTGTATTTTGCATAGAAAAGTAATCTTCAAACACTTCAAAGAGCTGTAGAATGTGGCATTTAAATAACCCAGGATTCTGTTGT